ACTCTTATATGGGGGCTACCCTAAAAAATATACCAATATTAATAATTTTTAGTAGGGTGAATTGCTAACCCATGAGAATCCAAAATACCAAATTACAGTCAATTCGGTTGAAAAACGTGTTCAAAATGCTACTTTTTGTTGTCGTCGGTTGGTTCCATATTAAAATCCCATATGTACAAAAAATCAATTTCTTTATTATGCTGATGACATAACTGTAACTATTCTTATTCCTTTTTTGGAATATTTTCCAACCTTCCTTCTCCCCCACTACAACATTGAACTTGACCTGCTATCCAAGAAAAAATCGGAACAAAAACAAAGCGTGCAACAAAAAAACCCAAATTTCACAACATTTCAAAATTGAATTGAAAATTTCGAATGAATAAATTTTACTTACATTATCATTAATTGGACGAGCCATGGTAGGTATGGTTGGGTAAGGTTATGGTTGGTTAAGCTCTGGTGTCTCTTTTTCTAGGGTGGGAAGATGACAGCGATAAAATTCCCTTAGATATAAAATATAATAATTATATCGGAGTAGTTCTATTGTTCTGCTTATTATGCAATGTTCCTTTTTTTACTGAAGGCAGGCTGGTTGGCAGGCAGGCAGTCCGTAGTTCTATGACAGCAGCAAATTTTTCTTCTTTCTTTCCTTATGTTTTTGTTGTTGTATTGTTTTCCATGTCACAGCTTACGTGAGTATCTATACAATATACTAGAATGCTATGTTGTTGTTGTTTTTTCATTCGTAGTGTATGGATGACGGATGTTTTTCTTCTTCTATTTATTTGTTGGGTTCAATGGACAATGGAAAAATTTCACTTATTCCGGTTATTTCGATTTCTTTCAAAACGATTTTTTTGGCACCAACAACGAAGAACAACAAAAAATATTTTTTTTGCCAATTTGTATTTTCCGATTTTTTCCTGTGGAAACCGTGAGTGGTGCTTTTGTATGTCTTTTCCACTCGATATGCCCGTTGTAACTGCCGACTGTCGATGCACTTTCTGTTGTCTAGGCCAATATTTCGGAATACTTTCGTTTTTCTTCTCTCTCGCTCTCTATTTATTTGATTTGTTGTCAAAAAAACAACCACTGGCGACAGGCTGGCAAAATAATGAATGAATGGATGGATGTCTTCTCCTAGTTGGCACAAACAACAGAACGCCTTGAGATAGTTGAGAGAGTAAAGATGGGAACAAAATATTGGATCTATGGGAAAAATATTAAAAAGGGGGCTTGTTATGAAATATTAAAAAAAAAAAAAATCAAAATTTTACCTCTTTTTTAAAATGTTTTTCTTAAATAAATTCTAGAGCCTACTGAGAGCTTCCTGGGAGGTTCATCACGTACTGGAACAAGGGCTGAAAGGAAATAAATGAAACAAATTTAATTAGATAGCGAAGTAATTGAAATATTTAGTGGGCGCCACTATCCTGTTTTTACCCATAACTAATTTCGATTCAAGGTCCAGACAAGGCGTGGGTTTTTTTAAAAAAATATTTTTTTAAGGATCCACACAAGGCGTGGATATGAAAAAATATATATTTTTTAAGGATCCACACAAAAAAATATTTTTTATAAAAAAAAAATTAAAAAAAAATAAAAAAAAAATATTTTTTGTCAAAAAAAAGTTTTTAAAAATATTTTTTATGAAAAAAAAATATTTTTTTTGATTTTTTTTAAATATTTTTAATGAAAAAAAAAAATTAAAAAAAAATATTTTTTATGATTTTTTTTAATATTTTTTATGAAAAAAAAATTAAAAAAAATATTTTTTATGAAAAAAAAAATTAAAAAAATTTTTTTCCAAACATTTGTTTTTTTTAACAACCAACAATATTTTTAACATAGTTGGGCCCCACAATCCTTTTTATTTTTGCCACTACGTGATTGGAATAATACCTTGAAGAAATTTACTGTAGTATTTCCTAGAACTGTACCTCTCATTTAGAAAATAAATCGTTTTTAGTGGACTTATTTTTAACACATTTGGGTGCCACGGTCCCTTTTTTGACATAACACTCTATATATTGATAATATTTTTACGGTTCCAACAGAATTAGATACATTTTAGGTGCCGATTGCGTAGCAAATCTCCCTAAACAAAAATTATTAATATCGGCCGCCCACAGTTAGGTATAGCCACCATATAACCTAGTTAATTGCATCTAAATACTCCCATCTCTGGCTAAGCAAATGCTGTTTTTGTAAAATTAAAATACGACCAAACTCCTTGGTTTTGAAAAATATGTCATTTATTTTTGATTTGAATCAGAAAACATCTATAAACATAAATAAAGGTTTGGTCGTAAGTCACTCGAATTCGTTCGTTTGGAATTTTACAAAAACAGGCTGTTAAAATATTTGGGATTATTTATAAATATTATGTTGCATAGTATAGACAAATATTTTTTAAAATAAACATAAATTAGTGAAATACATTCTTGTTCTAGAAAAAAATATTTTCAAATATGCAAAATGATTTATGAAAATATTTGTTATTACTGGAATTAATCAGTGTCGGTTTATAAAAAAATAAACATTCAATTAATAAAAAGAAACAAATATATTTTTTTTTGTTTTGCAATAAGGATATATAAATTTAAATAAATGTTGCAAAATATCTTGAAATAATATTTTTTAATTGTATCAAATTTCCATTTCATTTTTAATATTTTTCATTATTAAATTCTCTACGCAAATATCTTCAAATATTAAATCAATTATCAAATATTTTTTTAATTAGAGCAAATTTCATATTTTCATATAATTATTTAATATTTTCCTTCATAAAACCCCCTACGCCTCTGTTTACAAGCGCCAATTCATATGACACACTTTCTCTCACATATGGGATTCTCATAGTTTATATCTCTCACTGTCAACGATAGACTTTCGCTCTCTCTCACTCTAGCAAAAAACTATAAATGTTATTAGATAATAAAACATATTTTTCTGTTTTTTGTTATTGCAAATATTATCATATATACATTATATATTATAAATTTTACGTCAGAATTTATAAATAAATTTAGACGTGCTCGATGACAACACAGATGATTTTATCTTATATCACAAACACACATCCACACCCCCACACACAATAAATGTAAATAAACCGGCTTTTGACAATATGCGCCTCTTTTCTTTCTTTCTTATTTATGTTTAATTTAATTTGCTGTGAATTATTAATAACTATTTACTTTTGCATTTATTTTTATATTAATATTAAAATATATTTTTATTTGTTGTTGCACCGCCGATGTTGTTTTTGTATAAAATTATAAATTCCAATAGAAAACAAAACGCACAAAACAAACTAGTTGCCAAAAACAGTACGACCTTTTGTAAATGCGTGACACATTGTTAGGGAGCAACCTTTTCTAAAAGCGTTGAATGCATTGTCAACATGTGTGATCATATAAATGTCATTAATTTGTGGGGTATATATTAATGTTTAAATAATAGGTTCCTCCGATCTCTCCTTAATGTTTCCTCGATTGTTTCTATCCTATTACCTCACCGTCTACCATAGTTTCGGGTTGAGTGTGGGTCTTGGATAGAAATTTCTTGTTCGCAGAACAGCTTCCAGGATTTGCGTTTGGCGGTTCTTGTAAATTTATTGCATTCTTTCCGTTTATCGTGGAAGTTGTCCAGAATACTGCAGATTTTTTCGGCGTGTTCTGTTGTAAAGCTTTCGGACCTATTTTTTTCGTTCCGAATCTCCCTTGTCATCCACGGGTTTTTAAGGCAGAACTCCTTTCTCGAAGAGGACAACTTTCTTTGAAAGACTTTACAATTACTTTCGTTAATTAGTTGACGTTCAGGTCTATGTAATTCGTGTCTAGGTATTCATAATTTGATTGCCCTAAACAAATTTTAAAGCATACATTAAGTAGAAATGATTATTCTTTGGGAAAAAAGCAGGGTTGTATTTGAAATTATCTAGATTTAGCATAGGATTTAGAGCAAATCGAGATATTAAGTGGATTTAATTTTGAATGGTAGATCGAGGTAAATTCAGCTCGATTTAGCAATTAAATCGAGATAATTCACTTTATCACGATAAAAGCTACAATCTAAACGCGCTTTAAAGCTTCGAGATTCGTTCCATTGTCGTTTTGCAAGAAGTAAGTCCAATCACACCTTTGGACCGAAGATCACACCAAAAAGTAAAATTTTCTGGATGTAATGGCCTCTCTTCAATTAGTACCCCAAACACCATTTTGTTTATTAACGTAATTGGACGATTATGTAAACCATAATCTCCTCTTGAAGCACGATATGTGGATTTGTGGCAAAAATCAAATCAGTCCAGACAACATTGAAATTTATGAAAAATTTATTTTTTTTTAAATTGGACCCCACCACCATTTTTAATTATATCCTGAGGAAATTTATTGCAAAAATTCCCTAGATCTGTCAGAATAACACTTCTTAAAAAATCTGCATTTATGTACGAAAATATTTTGGGCGCCACCACCAATTTCAGTTATGTCCTAAGTCAATTTATTGCAAAAATTCTCTAGATCTGTCAGATTAACACTTCTACATCTATTGAGAGTTTCTTTTATTTATTTTTATAATTTTTATTATATTTTTATAACATTTATAGTATTTTTATTATATATTTTATATTATATTTTTATTATATATTTTTTTAACGCCAAACGATTTACGTCAACGCTTTTAACATGGTTGTTTAGAACGCCATTTAACGACACGTCAAAATCCTTTCACATACTTTGAACGACGTTCAACGAAAGCGATGATCTGAAAAAAATAAAAGATTCACCTCTATTAAAGGTTATTTATTGGTTTTTATAATATTTTTTTATAATTTCTATTATATTTTATATACTGGTTTGAAATAAATGCTCCATTGATATCACACACTACTTTTTTGAACGCCTTACGTCGGCACTTTTACCACAGTTGCATTTAAACACCGTTTTTTAAGCAAATGACGCCGTCAAAGCCATACATATTTTGAACGGCGTTCAACGAAAGCGATGACCTGACAATGTTCCTGGGATTATTTCTTTCTCAGAAAACTTTTGACCTAAGCAGTCATGGCGTAAGTGGATCTTTCTTAATAATTAAAATAAATAAAATGTGAAATATTAAAGACATCCCAAGTGTAATTTTAAAAATTAAATTACCAAAATAATGAGAATATTTTAATTTATTAATTAATTGAAATATTTTTGTTTTTAATGAGGAAAAATAGGGCAATTGCAAACCAGCTTTATGGAATTTTCAATATTCATTTAAGTTTGGAAGCAATTGCCAGAGAAAATATATAAAAATTTTACCCAGATTATTAACTGTGATTTAATATAGGTTAATAATCTTCTAAAAGATTAAATTTTACATTGTTTATTAAATTGTTATTACTCTTATACAAAAAAATATCAAATTAACTAACCACGTGTCTTTCTTCTTTTTTACAGTTCAAAGGTTTCCCGTGATACGCTTTATGAAAGCGTAAACGCTATCTTGGACTACTCCAAGACCAAGAAACGCCGTTTCTTGGAAACTGTTGAATTACAAATCGGTTTGAAGAACTACGATCCCCAAAAGGACAAGCGTTTCTCCGGCACCGTCAAGTATGTTGAAGATGATGAGTTAATACCTGTATGATTTGTCACCCAGATGACTGGCAATTTGGACTGAATTGATGAATTCCACCAATTGGAAAGAGTTGTTAACTCCTCCGGGTGATAGATCTGCAGGAAGTCAAATGGCAGAAGCCATTTGGCGGACCTGTACTCAGGGTCTTAAAATCAAATTGAGTAGGTTTGATGGATTTCTTAGAAATCCAATCATCCGCCCCATTTTAATTTAAATTTTGAAACAAATTCATAATTTTCAAACTACGCTGCCACCCTAACTTCTATGATGGAAAGGGGTTAAGTGTAAGTTTTTTAACACAAATTGCTAGCCGCCAAATGAGTACAGGATTCTATTTTCTTTGTAAAATGATGTTATACAAATATGCATGTATTACCTGAAAACCTTAGAGCCTTTTGGTTTTCATGTGGAGTATAATTCACTGATTTACAATCAAAATCCAATTATATTATCTTTATCTAAGATGTAAGATAATTTACTAATTTGTTTTCTTATTTTTGCTTTACAGATTGAAGCACATCCCCCGCCCAAAAATGAAGGTTTGCATCTTGGGTGATCAACAGCATTGTGATGAAGCCAAGGCCAACGGTGTCGAATGCATGGATGCCGAAGCTTTGAAGAAATTGAACAAGAACAAGAAATTGGTCAAGAAGTTGGCCAAATCCTATGATGCCTTCTTGGCTTCTGAATCTTTGATCAAACAAATTCCCCGTTTGTTGGGTCCCGGTTTGAACAAGGCTGGCAAGTTCCCTGGTCTCTTGTCTCATCAAGAATCCATGATGGCCAAGATCGAAGAAGTCAAATCGACCATCAAGTTCCAAATGAAGAAAGTCTTGTGCTTGTCAGTTGCCGTCGGCCATGTCAACATGGAACCCGATGAGTTGGTCCAAAACATCCATTTGTCCATCAATTTCTTGGTTTCGTTGTTGAAGAAGAACTGGCAAAACGTTCGTTCTTTGCACATCAAGTCATCCATGGGTCCCCCACAACGTTTGTACTAATTTCGTTTTAGAATTTTTATAACGCTGCGCCACGGGAGACTTTTATTTTACATTTTAATGGAAGACCAAGTCGAAAGATGTTTTTATAAATTGTAAAATAAAGGTGATAAAATGAAAAAAAAAAACAATTTTGCAATACTTTTTTATATTCTTATTGAAGTTTAATGGTAGAAATTTGAACCTATGGCGGGTTTTGTCGTCGTTTATGACCCTTGGGAATGTTTTAATTTTTTCCATGGTTTTACATTTGTTATTACTTCTTTTGGGGGGTTCTTTTTTGAAGATGTTTGCACACTTACGTTCATGGTCCATTTTTGATTCTTTAGAAGATATATAAATATTAAAATAATTACTACCAAACAAAGTATCCAAAAAGACCTTTGTTTACAAATCATTGTGTTGAACGACAGCTGATACTTTTACGTGTTCACTAAAAGGATCAGAATAAGCTAGTTCGTACTAGTTTCATTGAATGAATCACTGAATTTGAACATTGGCCTAATAGGAGAAACAAGATCGAAACAAAATATCCAAGAAGACAAGCTGATACTATTACGTATTCTCCAAAAGAAACTAGTTCATACTAGTTTCTTTTAATGAATCATTCAAGTTGAACAAATCAATTGTTTACATTATAATACTTTGAAATTTTGTTATTACTCCTAGGATGTTTGGTATAAAAATGGGATGCATCGGTCCACTTTATGGTATGGGTCCAATATAACGACATTAACCATTATTCTGCATTATTTGCACGTTTTGGATTATCTTGGGGAAAAAGATCTTCCTGCCAAAAACGATCAATATTTTAGGCTACTCCCCATATAACGGCAGCTCCTAAATGTCGGTATTTTTGGGGTTTAGGGACCGATTTCATTCGATTTTTTTATAATTCTAGATTTTTTTGAATATTTCTTAAAGGTTTTCTTATTTAGAAGATTTTTTCGAATACAAATAATTTCCACCACAATAAAAATCCAAATATATTTTGAATGTTTTCATTTATTCAACTTCAAATTATCCATGTGTACAATTTGGGCAATCATTTTTCTCGCTTCCTTCGCCACTGTCACATCAATATCCCCCATCTTAGGATTCTCCAATTTATATTCATATTTATTGATATCACAGTTATCACTCCATTCCTCGGAATATATTTCACCCAACTGTTCCAGAATATTATGTAAAATACAACATGCTTGGGCAATAAGACCTTTTGATTGGGGTTCAATAAATTCCGTTGATGAGAGTATCTGCCAACGGCCAAATAAACGTTTCAGCGATAATTCTCGGAAAATATTCAAATAACTTAATGCTGAATTGAAATCATGTTCATAAGATTCGGCAGGTTGTTCATATTTTTGCATAAGCCAGTTGCGTAAAGGATAGTATTCAGGGGCCACCACGAAATAGGATAGATTATCATTTCGTTTGGGTAGACTTTCCAAGTCATTTGAGTTCCCCAGGAACATTGTGGGTTGTTGATGGGCAATTTCCGCCTTACGAAATTGCAGACGATTATCGATTAACGTTTGGACAATTACACGATCCATGCCATAGGATTTACAGCCCGCCTGCGGGTAAGCAAATGTGGGTAATTCAAAAACACACAACACTCCCAAACAACATGGGGGCATATGTGAGGCCTTGGAAAATCCTTTACAAATTTTCTGAATCTCATCTACATCTTGGGGCATTTTTATATAATCCTCCGCGAATTTCTCTATCAAAGCATTGACAAATTCATATAATGCTGCTCGAACAAAGGTGGGTGGTTTATTGTAAAGTAAGCCCACGGCACGAAAAGTCTTTCCCGATGCCAATGTATAAATACACATGGCCACATAGGCCTCCATTGTTTGCATTTTCTCACTCTCATCGATTTGTATTTTTGCCTTGAAACGTGAACAAATCACACTGAAATTCTCCTTGGTCATATGGAATGCATTTAGCCATTGTTCTTCGGTAAAACGACTTAAGATGTCCTTAAAGAAATCAAATTTATTCCGCCCGGCATAAGAAGATGTTTGTTCCGATCCAATTTCTTGCAAGGATTTTTTCTGACCATCCTCCAGTAATTTCATAAACACCTTTGGTTCAATGCAGAGGGGAACCTGTTCCACAAATTGTGTTTGGATTTCACTCATCATTCGCATGAAGAGATTTCTCATTTGCTGATGTCGCTTTCGCCGCCTCTGTATAACTCTTCTTCTGCGTGTCATAATGAAGTGTTGATAATTTTGCAAATGTTGTTGTAGTAATGCCAGGGAACTGTGGAGTTTTACTTTGTGTTCTCCATTGTAATCCCTGGAAATCTGCTGCCATGTTTTTAGTTGTTTTTCGATTTGTTGGAAGTGTTCGACAATTTCTTCTGGGGCCTCACGGGGTTCTTCAACTGCATTTTGGGAATTCAGTGGGGTGTCTGTAAAAAAATGGGACAGTTGTTTTAATTTTATATGTGCCCCTAATTCTGTATTCAAGAGGAAAACCTTAATGACGAACTATGACTGCCCGTCATGGATTTTCATATCCATTTTGATCTGTTTAGCGAGCCATTACCTTCGTGGTCCATTCTGCTTCTTTATATATTAAATTAAAATTAATTTACAAATTAATATTTGTTTTATTTATAAGTATACGTTTTATCTGTTTTCAACAACGTTAGACATTCTACGAATAAGAGGGGGAAGACGAGAATGTCTGATAGAAAAACAAGCTCGAAACAAAATAAATAATAAGACTATTTATTGTTTACTTGTGTTGAACAGTGAACAACAGCTGATTCTCTTACGTATTCACTAAAAGGAACGAAATGAATTAGTTCATACTAGTTTCATTTAATGAATCATTACTTTTATGTTGCCAAACCTGTAATATTGTATAAAAATGGAACTATTTTTGGAAATTTTTGTTTGGAAAACGAACACCCACGATTGAGACTGCTATATATAATATAGAGGTTTGAAATTTTGCATACGTATTGTTATAAAACCTATTATGTTTGGTATTAAAAATAAGATATATTAGTCCCCATATAATGATGATACGACCAAGCATTCGGTATTTTGGCACGTTTTTAACCGATTTGGCTGTAATTTGGTATTTTGATTTTTAATCGGGTCTTCTTTTACCAAACATTTACCCCACATTTTTGGATATGTTTGGCTTGTTTTTCAACCGAATTGGCTGTAAGTTGGCATTTTGGGTGTTTATAGGGTAGGGTTTGGTTTCCAACAAAAATGCTCAATATTAGTCTGCTTTTCCACAGGCAGATTTTTATTTGGCAAATTTTTTCTTTTCTCTTTTGAAATTTTCGCTTGCTTTTCCATTAGCAAATTTTTCTTTGCCAAATTTGCGAATCAAAATACAAAAGAAAGAAAATAAAAGTCAAAAGTGTTTGCATTTTAAAGATTTTTTTAATATTTTATTTATTTTTTATATATTTTATTATATAAATTGCAAAAATTAAAAATTAAATTTCACTAGCACAAATTAAAGCAAAAGGTTTGTAAACAAAAGCCGGCTGTTTGTCAGTAAAGCGAATAGGTTCAAAAGGAAATGTCAACAAAATTGTTTTCAACATCGGGTCTTCTTTTACCAAAATTTACACATTTTTCGGATATGTTTCGCCGAATTCATGTTACAACACTGCTATATATTTTTTCTTTTCTCTTTTGAAAATATTTTTCTTTAGAGGTCAAAATACAAAAGAAAGAAAATAAAAGAAATTTTGCATTTTAAAGATTTTTTTAATATTTTATTTATACAAAAGGAAATGAACAGAGCAAAGCAGAATTTGCGTGTACGGCAAATTCTGAACAGGCAAATTATTGTTTTTCTTCCTCGCACCCCTCTCGCCTACAAACTCAGTATTTGCCAAATAAAAATTTGCCTGTGAAAAGCAGACTTAGTCCACATTTTACGATAGACACACATATAAGGGTATATTGGTACATTGGTAAGTATGGGCACGATTTTCCACCGAATTGGATGTAATCCAGCATTTTCTCATAGGGTAATACATATTCTCACCAATAAATATCAATATTGGTTCACTTCTTAGGATAGCCCTTTATAACCATACCCTCATTATTCACCCAAAATTTAACATGACACAGTACCCCGTCATATATAAATATTCTCTTGGTGAAATGTATAAAAAGTTGGAATTTAGCTATGTTTTTTTCTTTCAAGGCCCCCGAGTGAATATAACGAAAACATTACCTACAACAAAGTAAATTGGAAAAATACAAAATTTCATTAAATTATATATAAATTTGTATAAACTAGGCTGAAAACAATCTGAAGATTTAGTATGCAGAAAATTAAACTGTTTTAATAATTTAATTGAGTGTTTTTTCTTTTACCTTTTGCCTCTAAAATGCTAATCAACAACTGTGATTTCTATTAACAACGTCCATTACCCATACAAAAGCTAAACGCTATGAAAACACCTCACAGCTGTTGAAAGCCATATGACGGCGTAACAACCGAAATCCACCCACAAACTCTGTAATCTGCTGCTCTTGTTGTTGCAAATTTTTTGTTTTTATTCGTTTTGTTTTGATCCACACATTCTAAACAAAATCAAAATTTTGACGTTAACGTCTGCGCAGCACCAGCGACGTCAACCGCAAGGAGTGTGTGTCCGATTGTTGGCAGCAGCAACGAACGAGGAATACCAGAAAAAAAGAGATCAAATGAAAAATTGAGGAAAATTTTAGAAAAAGTTGATTTTTGTAAAAATTTGGAATATTGGTGAAAGGGAAAAACGAAAATTGGTGTTAGGCAATCGGAAAACGTAACGTAGTGAAGCCTCTAAATCGAAAAATTAAGGAAAAACAGATAAAAAAGAAAATTTTGTGTGAACAATGGCCAGTGGTGGAGGAACAGTGAATATTGGTGGAAATGGTGTTGCTTCGGGAATGAATGTAAATCTCCAAGCCTTGCAGACATTCCATCAACGTTGTGGTCGCCGTATTACCCTGTCCAATGGTAATCGTACAGCCTCCCGTTCGGTTAGGGATTTCAGTCATGCTTTGGTATTCAGTGCAGAGCCATTAATTGATGATGTCTTGTTTGAGGTTGTCATAGAAAGGAAGGTGAGTGGGTGGAAGAGAGGAGGCGGAACAAAAGGATTTCTCTTGTTTGGCTAAGTTTTTTGAACTTTCTTTGTTTTTTGTTTGTCTTTTCTAGAATCACTCATGGGGTGGCAGTATTGAAATTGGGGTCACCTCTGAATCACCCGACAAACTGGAATTGCCTTCCTGTGCCACGGTTATGCGTAATGGTACCTGGGTCATGTCCGGCATAGATGTACGCAAGGATGGCCTTTGCCTAACGGAATTTTATGGTGTGGATTTGGAGACCCTCAACGAAAATGATCGGGTGGGCGTGATGAGAACCTCCAACAATGAGTTGGTGTTCTATGTTAATGGCGAGTCCCAGGGAGTGGCTGCCGTGAATATGCCCAAAACCCTGTGGGCTTTGGTGGATTTATATGGACGCTGTGTCCAGGTGTCCATTTGTCCCACAGATGGCAATGGTGGTTGTGGGGTAAGAATTTCGGAAATCACAATTTTTAGGGAAGGTTTTAATTTTTGTGTGTTTTTTTGCAGGACTTTTCGGAAGAGCTACCCCAACACTCCCAACAACTTGTCCAAAACATCGATGTCGATGTTACCGTCACCAGTTCATATACCCCTAATGGTGGCGGTCATGCCGCCACAACACTAGCAGATGCCCCACCCTCATTAGCCAATTCATCTATCTTGAATTTGGCCAATTTCGGTGCCACCTCAACACAAATAAGCACCTCCTCGCCGGGTGGTGACTATTACGATATGAATGATCGTCTGCGTTTTCATACACGTTGTGGTTCGTTGGTTAAGCTATCTCCGAATTGTCGTTCGGCTGAAAGAAGGCGTCCATTGGATGAATTCAATAATGGTGTGGTAATGACCCATCGTCCGCTCAAGGACAATGAACTGTTCGAAATACGCATTGACAAATTGGTAGACAAGTGGTCGGGTTCGATTGAGGTGGGCGTTACCACACACAATCCTACGGTCTTGCATTTTCCAGCCACTATGACAAATATGCGTTCCGGCACAATAATGATGTCCGGTTGTGGCATATTGACCAATGGCAAAGGCACCAGACGTCAATATGGCGAATTTAATTTGGATGAGCTGAGAGAGGGTGATCGTGTGGGCATGATGCGTAAGGCCAATGGTAATTTGCATTATTATATTAATGGCCAAGATCAGGGTGTGGCCGCCACCAGGGTGGCCTCCACACTGTGGGGTGTTATAGATCTTTATGGTATGACCATAAAGGTGACGATTGTGGATCGTGATGAGAGGGAGCAGCAGAATTTGGTGACGCGACGGAATAATTTGATATCCACGAATGCCACAGCGGCATCTGTGGGCGGATTGCAAAATGTCAGCGCCAATGGTAGTGGTTTGGCAAATTCGGCAGCCCCCACACCAGTTTTGAGTTTGCTCAGTCCTGAAAGTGAGGTCGCTGCCATGGCAGATTCAGGGCATGCTGGTACAGCGAATCCTTCGAGAAATGATGATCGTTTGACATTCCATCCCTTGTGTGGTTCGCATGCTACGGTGACTCACTCGGGAAGGACGGCATTGAGACCAAAGTAAGTCAATTGAAAATGAATGGTATTTGGGTCCGGTATTAATTTTTGTTGTATTTTTTTCTTTTAGTGCCTCGGATGATTTCAATAACGGTGTGGTCTTGACCAGACGTCCTCTGAGACCCAATGAATTATTCCAAGTGCGTTTGGAGCGAGTTGTTACGAAATGGGCTGGTTCGGTGGAGATGGGTGTTACCACGCACAGTGCTGAGGAATTGGATTTCCCCTTTACCATGACCAATGTGAGGTAGGTTGGGAAGAATTTTACTGAATTTTCTTAGAGGAGGACTGGGAGACTATTTCGGAATTTCCACAGAGGAACCGCATATGTCATTGAGTTGAGCCTAGAATGACATGTGGCAAGTTTGATCATAATCGGTTCAGATTCAGATATTGTTCCCTATATAACTTTGTCCAATTTCAAGAAAATGGTGTCCGATCGCCATGCAATTTTGCATATGATATTGAATAGAGGCTAGAATATCGGGTGTCAAGTTTGATTCCGATTCGGTTCCGATTTCAATATACCTCCCATACAAAATTCCGTTCTATTTCTTGTAATCGGTGCACCAAAGACCCTACGACTGTCCGATTGCCATGATATTTTGCATAGGCCACTGAATTTAATCTAGAATTACGATTGCCAAGTTTAATTAAAATCGGATTCCGATATAGGTCCCATATATAACTTCGTCCGATTTTATGTAAAAGATGTCCAATTTCCCAGAAATTTTGTCATAGGCTATTGAATGGAGGTTAGAATGATGGGCGACAAGTTTACTTTAAATCGGTTTGGATTTCGATATAGGCCCCATATATTTATTTTCTTCGAAGTCGGACCCATCTGAAAATTTTACTTTTCTAACCGATTTTTGATTTTTCTCCCTCATTTCAGATCTGGCACCTGGATGATGACGGGCAATGGTGTCATGCACAATGGCATAACGGTAATCGAGCAGTATGGTCAAAATTTGGATCGCCTCCAGGTGGGAGATCGTGTTGGTGTGGTACGCAAAGATGATGGCACGCTGCATTTCTTTGTCAATGGGGTTGATCAGGGGCCGGCGGCAACAAATGTACCCGAACGGGTTTATGGTGTTATCGATCTCTATGGTCAGGCGGCTCAGGCCTCCATTGTGGATACTTCGGAATGCAATAGCCCCGATACTGGCAATTCCACAATTTCAAATACCACTTTATATAGTGAAACACCATTGCGGTTCCACAGCATTCATGGTAAAAATGCCAGTATTTCAAATTCAGGATTAACCGCATCTCGGCCGAACTCTTTGGCCGAGTTCAATGATGCGATTGTTTTCAGCAACCGCCCGCTGAGGCAAAGGGAACTGTTTGAGGTATGTTTGGAGGAAGTGGTACGTCATTGGTCGGGTAATATTGAAATAGGTGTAACCGGTTCTCGGCCCGAGGATATACAATTGGCTGCCAATGCCACGGAAATGGATGCAAATGACACGATTATATTGTGTGGTCCCATGATTTTCCATAATCGCAAAAAATTGCGGAGTAATGTCCTGGTCGATTTGGATACGTTGGGTACTGGGGCCAGGGTGGGAGTGATGCGTAATGGTGATTTTATACATTTCTTTATTGATGGCATTGATCAGGGTCCGGCATGTGAATGCCGATCACCGAATGTATGGGGTGTCATCGATTTGTATGGACAATGTGCCCAGGTATCGTTGACCCAGGCCCAGGCAACGGATATGCGAGCTCCATATGCCACCAGTGAGAATTCACAAAGTTGTCAGGCAACATCGGTAATCCAACCGACCACATTGGAGACGAAGCATCGTTGGACATGTATATCAGGAAATGTAACCTTGACACAAAATTGGACAGTGGCGTCAAGGTTGACCGGGGCTTCGGCAGCCCTATCACGGTGTGTGGTATTTTCCGAACATCCATTGAGTGTCGGTTCACCGTTTGAAATAAAATTGGTGTCGCATAATCCGTTGTTTGCGGGTAAGTCCAGCTTTTTGAAATATACAATTTGAATGATCACACCCTCCCTCTCTTTCTATCTCTCTCTTTTTAGGCTGCCTCAGTATTGGTATCACCGATTTGAATTTAGCCGACGATAATGTCCGCAAAAACATACCGTTGAGTATTAAGCGCATACCGGCCAATGTTTGGTATGCCTCGGGTAATGAGGTCCGTTACAATTCCACATTGTTGCAAAGGTCAATGACCTCTTTGGAATGGCTAAGGGTTGGCGATCGCATTGCCCTGGAATTGACACCGGCAAGGACATTGAAGATACTACTTAATTCGGAGGATATGAATATACAATTTCAAAATGTTCCCAATGTAAGTAAGCGCATTGAACTTTGGGGGGAATTGGTTCGGATTGATCCGATATTATGTAAATGGCGTACTGAGGGCGACACGTCTGGCCGATTGGCACGAAATTTTGCAAATGAGTATAGGATTGTGTGTGAAGTATAATTTTAATCGGTTCGGATTTCGATATAGCTCCCAAGGAAAATTTCATCGGATTTCATGTAAATGGTGCACGAAAGCCCCTATGCCTGCCCGATTGACACGAAATTTGGCTTAAGCTTAATGAATTGAGTCTAGGATATTGTGTGCCAAGTTTGCTTTAAATCGGTTCAGATTTCGATATAGTTCCCTTGTAAAATTTCGTCCGATTTCAGGTCAATGGCGCCCAAAAGACAGAAAATATATCCGATTGGCACGAAATTTTGTATAGGCTGTGCCAAGTTTGATCTAAATCAGTTCCGATTTCGATGTAGTTCCCATATAAAAATCCGTGGGATTTTAGTAAAATTGGGTATTAAGGCCGCTACATATGTCCGATTGACTCGAAATTTTGTGTAGACTAACAAAATGGGTCTAGAATGACATGTTCCAAGTTTGACTTAAATCGGTTCCAATTTCGATATAGCTCCCATATACAATTGGGGATTAAAGACGCTATGTCTGTCCGATTGGTACGAAATTTAGTACAGGTTATCGAATTGAGTCCAAAATGAGATGTGCCAACTTTGATTTAAATCCGATCAGATTTCGATGTAGCACCCACAAAAATTCCGCCCAATTTGGTGCACCAAATTCCCCACAACTGTTCGATTGACCCGAAATTTTGCACATACAATCCAATTGAGTATAGAAACGCAGGGGTTAAATTTGGTTCATATCGGTTTGATTATAAATATTGGCCCCATCCTTCGAATCGATCCTCCTTAACCTTCTTCTTTACCGATTTTTTTCTTTTGTCTCATTTTCTTCCAGGATGTCTATGTGGTAGTCGAGTTACAAGGCTCCACAATGGCTGTACAGGTGATTTCATCACAAGGTCCAACCTCACCCCTAAGACCCTTCAGTTTACGCCTTCAAGATTCCTTGGAATTTGGTGTAGATCCATTAAATAAACAAGATTCCATGTTGGAATCCATTGAATCGGAAGCATTGGTATATGAATTCTCTGAGATATGTGGTAAAAATATCCGACTACTCGAAGAACATCGTTCGGCAATGCGTTCGCAATCGTATAATAATGGTTTGGTATTCGTTACCAAACCACTGTGCAAGGGAGAGAGTATCAGTGTAAGTAGAATGCGATTCTTTTTTCAAATCCGAAATTAATAAATTCTCCATTTCAGATTAAAATCGATTCCATTAACAGCAAATGGAAGGGTACCATAGGTCTGGGTGTGGTGGGCCAGTGTCCACAAATCTCATCATCCGGCTCTGCCTTACCACCGTCCATTATCCAATGTAAACGTCCTTGTTGGGTGGCCACCCATGATTATATTAATGTAAATGGTCAAAAAATTGCCTCCAAATATGGTGAGGCCTTGGAGCACATACAGCCGGGAACGGTTATAACCATGACACTGACACATGCGGGCATGTTAAGTGAGTCCAAAACAAAATTGAATTTTAAAAATTATTTTATATCGATTTTTATTTTCAGTCATTATGGTGGGTTCCATTAACTTGGAGGACTTGACATCGGGCCTCTCAAATCATGTCTATCCCGTTTTCGATTTATATGGTAAATGTGAACGTATTACCATAATAACGGGCAGTGATGCGGCACGTAATGGTACACCCATTGTGGAGGAATCGACGGCATTGGAAATCGATTCCATAGATCAGGATTCTAGCATACCACAGTGTGAAAAGGCCGATTTGGAAGTACATGAAAAGGAAACGGAACAATCGATAAGTTTAAATACGCAACCAACAACAACGACAGCAATGTAAGATGGAGATTTTTTAAGAAATATTTTTTAGGGAGCGGAATAAGGTGTGGATTTTTTAAAAAAAATTTTAGAGACCGGAACAAGGCGTGGATTTTTTAGGGATCTACAGCACCTGAGGATTTTTTAAAGTAATTATTAGGGACTTACAGCACCTGAGGATTTTTTAAAGTAATTATTAGGGACTTACAGCACCTGAGGATTTTTTAAAAGTATTTTTAGGGTCCTACAGCACCTGAGGATTTTTTAAAATTATTTTAAGGGACCTACAGCACCTGAGGAATCAGATAGACCCATGGTTACTTTTGAGAATATGCATAGAATCACTTTCCGAGTCGATTTATGAATGTCCGTTCATGTGTATTTTCGTCTGATTTAATGTAAATGGTGCGCCAAAGTCCCTAAGTATCTTTCGATTTTCATAAATTTCAGTTTGGTACCCAATGTGGTGAAGAGTATCATATAGTCGGCCCCGTCCGATTTTTGAACTTTCCTTACTGGTTTTATATTGCTTCATTTTCTCTCCTATAGGAACCGTTCGGTCATGGAAAGTGTCTCCGAAAATCTCTTACTCAATATGTCTATTAAAAATCGTACGCTTGAACAAAATCGTGCAGATCCCACTAGTTCCAGCTCATCGTGGTAAGGGATGAATTACTTATTTTTTATAATTAAATTAAATTTTTTTCTTCTTCCTCTTCCGCCCTCCCAGCTGCCTTCAAGAGTCTCTATTATTACAGCATAACACAAATTTACACATACAATTAAGTCAGAGTACCCAGCGATTTTATAATGCTTTAATTGGTTTTGATAACAGCAACTCCTCGGGAGGAGCTTCCACATCAACAGCGGCCGCCGCTGTAGCAGCCGGCGGTACCTCCACAGCCAGCAATCCGTCAATGAATAGCAGTAATCAATTGCAAAATATCGATACAAATAAAGAAATCGAACACCACGCCGAAGATATTAATGGGGCTGTGGGTGGATTTTCACCCAGGGATACAACAGAGGTGTCGGCAGCAGCCATGGTGGTGTCGAACAATGTACGCTGTGCTTCCAAAGATAATCTGCATGAACTCAACGAAGAGGCCAATTTGGCTTTGCAACAACAACAAAGGCAAGAAAATGAAACGCTGGATAATAATACCAACGATAATTGTGCGGTCGAAAGTTCCGCAAATAATTTGTCCATTGAAATAACCACGGCAAATGATAGTCCCTCCTCATCCGCAGTGGATGTTGATGAAGATTGTTTGGTAGATGTTTTCAATGACCGTCTGCTGCTACTGCGTCAATTACATTTGCAGCGGCGCCAGGAGCAGCAACGCCTCCAACAACAATTTAATTTGGATAATTCCTCATCCTCTTCGGCGGTGGTTTCCAATCAATTCGATAGCATGCAATCGATCGCATCCATTGAGCGAAAAGATTGTGAATATTTGAAATTGGTACAGGAGTTCCGTAACTCTTTGGTATTGCCCGAGAGTTTCTTTCAATCGACAGTGGAACCGATTTGCTTTTGCAGCCACTGTAATGCCCAGGCATCGGAAAAGCTACACGGTTGGGTATACTTCAAATTGAATCAACAGACCGTCAATTCGAATTCTTCGACTCAACATGCTTTGGATGGCGATATGAATGGTGATTGGTTGCCGTTGTTCTATATGACGCGGGTGGATAAAATTCGTGCAATTCTTGATCATGGTCAGCCTTTGCCCATCGATACAAATGGAGAAATGCATTCCCATGCCAGTGGTGGCAGCAATCAAAAAGATGAACCTGGAACGCGTCTGGAATTACATTTCACTCCCAACTCAACGGCCATTATACCCATAAATCAGCAGTACAAATATCATTTTTATGGGCAGATCTATCAAATCAATACAGCCTTTGAGGTGTATGTGCGGCGGCAAAGTCTCTGTGCTTCATCGAAATCGACACTACACGAGGGAGGAGGTAAATTTCATGAAGAGCGAAGGTCGTCAACATCCGATGTTGATTTGGCAGGGTGTTCCACATCTTCGGCGGGGGCTGGAGGAAATGCTGGCGCAGCTAATGGGGCCTCTGGGGGTCATCATGATTTATATGCCGGACCCTCCACCTCGTTATCCTCGGCGCCGGTTATTAAAGATCAAACCTGGTTTACCAAAGAGGCTGGCGCTTGTGTTATAACTGCTTTAATTTTAAAGCTTGATAAAATCGGCACATCATCATCGTCAGCATCCAACACAACAATGGCCAACACAGTGGCCAATGAACATCATTAAAAACAAAAACCCGGCAAGGATCTCCCTCATCCTCCACAAAATGATATTAAATATTGTCTTACAAAAAAATAATTAGCTTATAAAAACAAAAATTTGTATTATTATTTATTTATATAAAAAACGAACGAACTTTGTAATGCTTTTTCGAAAAAAAAAGAAATATTTAAAAAAACTCATACTCTATATTTTTTCAAAATTTGTTAAATATAAAAAATACTGTATTATTATTATTTTTATGCACAAAGCACTGATTAGCTTTAGTTCCCGAAGAAGAAGAAAAAATAACAAAAACAAATATTAAGACAGAACAACGTATGTCTGTATGTGTGTCCTTTTTTGACTTATTTTCTTAAAATATTATTATTAATAAAAAAAGAAAATTCAAAATAAAAAATAAATAAATAAAAATATTGTAGTTGCAAACCAAAAAAAAAAAAAAATGCATATTGCAGAAGCACACAATTCGATGTATGTGTATGTGTGAAACAATCAAAGGAAATTGTATGAAATTTATGCAATAATAAGAATAATAAAAAAATTGGAATTCGAATAAGATATTGAAAATTTCGAAAATATAAAAATATACATTATTTTATTTTGAGGACCATTACTAGGCGTAGATTTTTGAAAAATATTGGTTAAGGAGCCCTCACAAGGTGGGAATATGAAAAAAATATTTATTGACCAAAAATATGCGTTGATTTTTTTATAGAGCCCTCATAAAGCGATGATTTTGAAATATTTTATTAAGGAGTCTTCACAAGGTGGTGATTTGTAAAAAAATAGTTTTCCAAATCTGCTTCCTCTTCCACACAAATTTCCTACCAAACACATTGGTGGATCAGCACTGATTTCTCTTGCAGATTTTACCAGCCGTAATTGTCCTCTGACAATTCAAATGCAACACATGCATGATTCCACTTGCGTATGTTGTCAACACACTACGTAACATACCCGACACCCGGTTATACAAGCTGTTATGACTCTCAATGCCATTTCTTTTTTTTGCACACTCTGATCACACAGCTCGGTCACTTTCCACTGTCTTCCTTTCTCACCCAATCAACTATAGTCTTACTCGGATTCACTCTTTCCGGGACCGTGTGCTACTGACACTCTTGTAACACATTATCGCTGCTTTTCGACACACGAGAAACCACGATCTGCTAGAGTGGATTTATTATGACAGATGCCTGCCGAACATTTATACACTAAGCATTTACGCGCTTCTCCAGATGCCTGCCGAACATTTATACACTAAGCATTTACTCCATCTGGACTTACGATATGTCCAAGAACTCCCTGGGCTTTTTGCTGTGACTGTGACTTCTTGGCTATGCCTGAGTACACTACTTATTCTTCCCATCGATTCTGGGCCCATAACCTGTTGTAAGTATTTGATTTGCCGCTGCTAGGTGGATTAAAGGAAAGACAATACTTGTGCTCTGGCTGGCGGCTTAATTGAGAGTAATTATCAATACTTCACACACTATACAAGAAAACATATTGCTACGACTATTTAAAAACTTGTGTGTAGGCCACACTAGGCGATCTCATCGCAATTACTCACGCATGTATGTTGTGTGTTGGAAGTCCGTAACGCGGACATTCAATAATTACAATAATTTTATTTTCAAAAATATTTTTTAAGTACCCCTCACAAGGTGGGGATATTTTAATATTTTTTTAAGAGAGTGGGGATTTGTAACGGCTCTGATTGGCTCTGACAAAGTCCAGGCTTATCTTAATCCCTCTTTCATCTCAATTGTGGACAATGACCTCCCCGCCGGGGTCACCTGGGCTTGCTATTTTTCATCAACACCCGTTGAAATAGTGAGCTAATATGTGCCGCGCGTTCACCCATAAGACTATATGATACCCTTCACCACTTTGGGTATATTCAACAGATGAATCCTAACAGATGTCCCACACATCAGTCTATACTTAATTCATTACGCTATGCCAAATTTTGTGCAAATCGATGAAACTATATATGGGAGCTATATCTAAATCTGAACCGATTTTCAGGAAACTAAACACACGTCATTCTGGACCTAATTCAGTACTCTGTGCCAAATTTCGTGCAAATCGAAAGATATATGGGGCCTTTGGTGAACCATTTACATTTAATCGGGTTTTCCGAATTTCAATAGGGTTCGTCCTTGGGCCAAATGAGTGAGCTGTACCAAATTTCATCCAAGTCGGATCATAAATGCGACCTGCACTTTGTTTACAATTTAACAAGGACAGACAGACGGACGAACGGATATGCATAAATCCACTTAGAAAGTGATTCTATGCATATTCTCAAAAGGAACCATGTGTCTATTTCGTTTCCTTTTGCCTGTTACAAACATATACACAATGACTTAATACCCTGTACCACAGAGTGGTGAAGGGCAAGGTTAGGTTTGGGTTGTTGAGTAGAATCTTAGACTCGGTGGAAAATGAGCACCCACTAGTCTGTGCCGCCAGTAAGCCAGGGCTGGACAGTGACACAGAAGATGCTCAAATGTCTCCGTGTCCTCCTCGTCAAGGCAGAGTCTACAGTAATCAATTGCATCAAGATCCCATTTACTAGTAAAACAATGACCAGTAATGATTTCTGTTATTACTCTTATTTCGGCTTTGCTCAGGTTCAACAGTGAGTGCGTCCTTTTGGTAGACAGAGTCGGCCATACGGATCTTGACACGTTGCACCTAGGTTCGTTGTGTCAAAGTTCATGGGCTCTTTTATCGAAGCTCTTTTCTCGGACCTTCCCAACCTTTGAGCCGCTGTCCGTTGCTGGGTTCTCGACAGATTCCCCATCGTCGGACGTCGCCGATTGCCTCTGAAGTTTATTGTCGGCAAGTGCTGACACAGGACCTGTTGTAGTCAGACTTGAAGTCGGTCGGTCAACAGGGTCTGCGCTTCCTTCGTTAATACTACAGCAATCCTCCTGTGTAGACTTGGCTGGGACCATCGTGGTGTCCAGCTCATCATCAGTTAGGGTAAGATTTAGTAGCAGTTCCTCCGGAAGCGTATCCCCACGTTGCTTTTCCGGTATCAGTCTGTCTAACTGGTCGAAGAGTTCCTTACTTTGATTCTCTAGACTATCGCGGATAGCTTTTAGAGTCCCCTGTAGGTCGTCCCTTGCCAGAACTACAGTCCTGTCAGCCAGAGACTGATTTAAGGCGATATTGAATACTTAAAGGTGTTCTATTTATTTGTTGTTCTCCATACCAATCCGCCACCAATGACCCTGAAATATATTGTTCTGCCACAAGTGCCCTCTAAGTAACTCCACATTTAATTTTTCCTTTTATCAAAATGAAGGACATACTGTCTTTTATTTTCCTTTGTTAGTTGTAGGTTTTTTCTCCCGCATACCAATATTATCTTTGTTTGTATATTTATTGCCCTATATATTTATCTAACCCATATTATTTTGGGCCTTGTTAGTACGGTCGTTTATTGTTAGCATAAGACCGAATGACCGACCATATGTCATCGTTGTCGTATGTAATTAAGACAATTGTTGGAAATATGTTTTGGAAATCCACAAAAGGGCAGCGATATTTATTTACACACATACACGCATACAAATATATACATATAGAAGGTTGGAGGGGATGTTTTTTAGGCACACTTCTTTTTTTGAAAGTCACGGCTTTGCGCCTTGTGAGGACTCCCAAAGAAAATATTTTCAAAAAAATCCACACCTAATGGTGGCTCCTTCAGGTACCTTAAAATATTTCCGTGTAACATAGGCGTATACATTATGACAACACTAATACGCCCCCTATGTTCCCGCTCAATTAAAATAGAGGCATTTTTGTACTTCCTCCCAAATGATTAGTTATAAAAAATAGATTTTTTTAATTAATCGTTATGAAAAAAATACGACTAAATCAAATATATTAAGTTTTCTAATACAAATTAACATGTTATAAAACCACAACAACAACAAAAACAAAATGATTTGTCATTGTATTGAGGCAATAATATTAAAAGACTTACACACATACACATCAGCACATTTGAACATGACTTTAGTTGATTGTACCCATTGGTATTGGTGCAGGGCTTTTACAACTGAAAAATTCTTTGTGTATTGGTGGGAGGGGGGGTGGTTGAAGGGTAACCATTATTAACGTGATTATTAGAGAGAGTTTTTATGCATTTATTAACTTTATTTACATTTATCATTTTCCGCACCAAATGGACAGTTGGGGTGAAGAAAAGAGCAAAGGTTTTTATTGAAAATATTTTTTTTAATATTTGTGGGGCGTGGATTTTTTAAAAATATTTTTTAAGTGCTATCCAGCGTACTGTGTGAATGACTGAGGCCAATGGTCAATAACATCATTGGACCATACCAATGCGGCTTCAGACCTTACAAATCCATCATTGACCAGATTTTCATTCTGCGCCAAATCCTGGAAAAGACCCACGAAAAACAAATCGACACATACCACCTATTCGTCGACTATAAAGCCGCATTCGCGACAGCCCTGTCCGTTCAGAGGTGTTTAAAGCCATGTCTACGTTCGGCATTCCTGCAAATTTAATACGGCTATGCAGAATAACTTTAAGTTGCACAAGGTCAGCAGTTAAAGTCGGAAAGGACCTGTCGGAGCCCTTCAATACTGAACGAGGATTCAGACAAGGTGACAGTTTGTGACCTTTTTAACATCCTGCTGGAAAAGGTCATACGAGAGGCAAAAGTGAACAGAAATGACACTCTGTACACCAAACAACACGCCAATGACATCGATATAATGGGTCGAATATTGCGAGCCGTAACAGCCACCTTTGAACAAATTGAGAAGGAGTCTGCCAAAGTGGGTCTGGCAGTAAACGGCGAGAAGACCAAGCTGACTCGGACCAACTGTAGAATTTGAGAACTATAGCTTCGTGGTATATTTCATATACCTTGCTACCGCCATAAATAAAACTAATGACATCAGTTTTGAAATTCGGAGAAGGATTGTGATGGCCAAACGATGATACTATGGTCTGAACAAACAACTCAAAAGCAAGGCCACCTCTCGCCAGACCAAACTCACACTCTATAGGACGCATGAAGCATGGGTACTTACGCAAGCAGATGTGGCAGCTCTTGGAGTGTTTGAGAGAAAAATTCTCCGAAAGATCTATGGGCCGATCTGCGTTGACGGTGAATATCGCCGTCGAATGAACCATGAGTTGTACCAGCTATTCTCGAACATCGACATTGTTTTTAGGCGTATTGGGCAGCAGCGACTACGTTGGCTAGGTCATGTTGTGAGAATGGATGAAGATGCCCCAGCCCAGAAGAATATAAAAGCGAACCAGCTGATGGTTCACGCAAGAAGAATACGTTGGAAAGATCATGTCGAAGACAACATCGCCGAAAAGGGTCTTTCAAATTGGAAAAACTGCGCAAAAGACCGACGCGCCTGGAAATCTTTTCTAAGCTCGGCTTATGGAACGAAAGTTCTGTCACAAGCCTTACTTATTTGGCCCAAGGACGAACCCTATTGAAATTGAAAAAATCGGTTCAGATTTCGATATAGCTCCCATACATATATATATATATATATATATATTCGTCCGATTTAAGGTGAATAGTGCAGCAAAGTCTCTATATACCCTTCGATTTGCACGAAATTTGGCATAGCGTACAAAATTAAGACTGGAAAGATGTGTGTTGAATTTCGTGAAATTCGGTTCTGATTGCGATATAGCTCCCATATGTATTTTCGTACGATTTAAGGTAAATGGTGCAACAAAGTCTCTAAATATCTTTCGATTTCCACGAAATTTGGCATGGCGTACTTAATTAAGTCTAGAATGATGTGTGCTAAGATTCGTGAAAATCGGTTCAGATTTAGATATAGCTCCCATATATATTTTCATCCGATTTTATGTAAATGGTGCCCCAAAGTCCTTATATATCTTTCGATTTGCACGAAATTTGGCATAGTACACTAAATTAAGACTGGAAAGATGTCTGTAAAATTTCGTAAAAATCTGTTCAGATTTGGATATAGCTCCCATATATATTTTCATTCGATTTTAGGTAAAAAGTGGACCAAAGTCCCTATATATCCATCGATTTGCACGAAGTGCACTGAATCGTGTCTAGGATGATGTGTGTCTAGTTTCGAGAAAATCGGTTCAGATTTAGATATAGCTCCGGTATATAGTTTCGTCCGATTTAAGGTAAAAGGGGCACTAAAGTCCCTATATATCTTTCGATTTGTACGAAATTTGGCACAGCCTACTGAATTAAGCCTAGAATGATGTGTGCCAAGTTTCGTGAAAATCGGTTCAGATTTCGATATAGCTCCCACATATATTTTCGTCCGATTTAAGGTAAATGGTGCACCAAAGTACTTATATATCTTTCGATTTGCACGAAATTTGGCATAGCGTAGTGAATTAGCTCTAGAATGATGTGTGTTAAGTTTCCTGAAAATCGGTCCAGATTTAGATATAGCCCCCATATATATTTTCATCCGATTTTATGTAAATGGTGCCCCAAAGTCCCTATATATCTTTCGATTTCCACGAAATTTGGCATAGCGTATTAAATTAAGACTGAAAAGATCTGTTTTAAATTTCGTGAAAATCGGTTCAGATTTAGATATATGTCCCATATATATTTTCGTCCGATTTTATGTAAATGGTGCCCCAAAGTCCCTATATATCCTCCAAATTGCACGAAATTTGGTATAGCGTACTGATAGATAGTGTACTGAATGGTCCTTCAAAAATGCGACGTCTGTTAGGATTTCATCTTTTGAATATACCCAAAGTGGTGAAGGGTATCACACAGTCGGCCCCGTCCGACTTTACTACTTTCCTTACTGGTTTAATATTTATTTCGATATTTTTCAATATTTAATAATATTCAATATTTAATATTTAAAAATCCATTTCTCTTCGTTTTCAATTTCTTAAAAAGCCTCAATTTCCGAAGCCGCTGCTCTCCCCAGAGATCAGCTATTACCTTGGCCACAGCTTTAATAACTTCGAATGTCGTCGAATGGGGGGTGGGGCAGCTGCCAACTTGTATGGTCATTGTGTATTGGGACACATGTAGTCTATTCTGTCATTGTTTGTTGACATGTCTATGTCGTGTAAAACTAAACTACTCCAGCTCCACTAGCAGGTCACCAAAGTCAGTCAGGGGGGTTGGTAATAATAATCGTCAAATACCCATTGGAATTACCTGGACAAGTGACTTTAGCTGCTCGGCAGTTAAATCAACATTTGATTAGTTGCTGCATAACTCTAAACGATAACGGTTGGATAAAAAAATTAGGAACTATAGCGGGATAAAAAAAAATAAAATTTTTATATGGCATTGTTCGGGAATCGGAGGAAATAAAAACAATATTTTGAAATAAAAAAGTAAATATTTGGAGTGCCTAAATTATTTGAAGACGTTGTGAAATATAAGATACGCCTGAAATGAACATATCCCATCGGAACCCTAATTCAGCTAAGCTAAATTGACAATTTTTTTGCGGGATGTCCAATTTTAAACTACTGGATTACAGATTATCTACAGAAAACCCAATTCAGCTGAGCTGAATTGTAGATTTCCCATCAGAAACCTAATTCATCTGAGCTGAATTGTAGATTTCACATCGGAAACCTAATTCAGCTGAGCTGAATTGTAGATTTTTCATAGGAAACCTAATTCAGCTAATCTGAATTGTAGATTTTCCACCGGAAACCTAATTCAGCTGAGCTGAATTGCAGGTTTGCCATCGGAAATCTAATTCAGCTGGTCTAAATTGCATTTTCAGTTGGGCTAAAATGATGATTTGTTATTGGAAACCTAATTCAGCTGGGCTGAATTGCAGATTACCTGTGGGAAATCTTATTTAGCTGGGCTGAATTGAAGATTTCTTATAAAAATCATAATTCAGCTAAGCTGAATTGAAGATTTCCTATAGAGATCCCATTTTAGCTAAGCTGAGTTGAAGATTAACTATAGAAATCATAATTCAGCTAAGCTGAATTGATAATTTTTGTAAAAATTCAGATTTCAATAGGAAATCTTCAATTCAGCTTAGCTGAATTACGATTTCTATAAGAAATCTTCAATTCAGCTTAGCTGAATTATAATTTCTGTAGGAAATCTTCAATTCAGCTTAGCTGAATTATGATTTCTAGGAAATCTTCAATTCAGCTTAGCTGAAATGGGATCTCTATAGGAAATCTTCAATTCAGCTTAGCTGAATTATGATTTCTATAGGAAATCTTCAATTTAGCTTAGATGAATTATGATCTCTAGGAAATCTTCAATTCAGCTTAGTTGAATTATGATTTCTATAGGAAATCTTCAATTCAGCTTAGCTGAATTATTATTTCTTTAGAAAACTTCTATTCAGCTTAGCTGAATTATGATTTCTATGGGAAATCTTCCATTCAGCTCAGCTGAATTTGGATTTCTATAGGAAATTTTCAATTCAGCTTAGCTGAATTAGGTTTTCTGTAGGAAATATTCAATTCATCTTAACTGAATTAGGTTTCCTGTAGGAAATCTTCAATTCAGCTAAGAATTAGATTTCCTATAGGAAATCATCAATTTAGCAGCAGAATTAAGTTCCCTATAGGATATCTTCAATTCAGCTTAGCTGAATTAAGTGTCCTGTATAGAATCTGCAATTCAGCTTAGCTGAATTAGGGTTTCTACAGGAAATCTTGAATTCAGCTTAGCTGAATTAGGGTTCCTATAAGAAATCTTCAATTCAGCTTAGCTGAATTAGAATTTTGGAGGGAAATCTTTAATTAAACATAGCTGAATTGATATTTCGATGGGAAAACTTCAATTTCGCTGAATTAAATTTCCAATTTATTGTGTATTTTTGTAATTCCGCAATGTTGTAAATAGAAAAAATTGAATTTATTTGCAAAATTAATTACAAAAAATAATGACTGACAGAAATCCATTAGCGAAATTTTTTTTTTGCCGCATTGTTGTTGCACGTGCAACTTTGTCGGACCCACTTTTAAACGGTTCCAATTAACATATGGGCGAGAAAACCACGTTAACCATTTACATGCAAGATTGATCACAATTCCTGACTGACATTTATTGTTCGCGCCATTTTTTTGTTTTTGTAATTTTTGCAGATTTCTTTAAAAAAAAGTTCTGCAAAGGTTAGAGGTGTGCATGCCACAAGCTGCATGCTAAGCATTCGGCGACCATTATGCAGAGGCGAAAGGCAAAAAAGAAACACTGGCCTGAAATATTCCACAACAACAAAAACAACAACGAGAAATTACAACAAGAACTAGTTGCACGCAAATTTTTAACAATAGAAATATAAAAAACTTCACACCTCGCTTTTTTGTGTCCCGCACGCTTTATTCACCTTCGCAGCTTTTAATCGGGAAGTGGAAATTTTGAAGCAGTAGAAAAAATGGCAACGGGTGTTGAATTGATTTTGGCCACAGCTCTATGTTTAACCTGTGCCAATGACACGGTGACCTATCCGGAAGGTTTGCTCTGGGTGGATAAAAATTACGAAGTGGTTACAGAGGCCCCCATAACGGATGTACTGGATAAGTCGCTGGATGATGCCCCGGCGGAGACCTTGAATACCATTCTGGAAAAGGCAGAAAAGTTACAAAAATTGAAATCTTGGCTGAGTGGACGCCACTTGAAAATTGGTACCCTGGAAGATTATCCTCTAAGTTATACTGAGACCCAACCGGATGGCAGCAAGAAGGGAATGGGGGTCTCTTTCATTCTCCTTGATTTCCTCAAGGAGAAATTCAATTTTACCTATGAGGTAATGGTGCCTAAGGGGAATATTATTGGATCGAAGGATGACTTCCAAGGCAGTCTTATACAAATGTTGAATGCATCGGTGAGTATGGAGGCCGGAACGAGGTCCAAAAAATAAATGGTCCGGTCTCTTTTCAGGAAGTCGATATGGCCGCAGCATTTCTGCCCTTACTTTCCGAACAGCGTTCATATATTTTCTATTCCACGACGACGCTGGATGAGGGCGAATGGATTATGGTTATGCAGCGCCCTCGAGAATCGGCCTCGGGATCAGGTCTGTTGGCCCCCTTCGAGTTTTGGGTATGGATATTGATATTGGTCTCGTTGCTGGCTGTGGGTCCGATCATTTACTTTTTGATTATTTTGCGGAACAAATTAACCGGAGATAATAGTCAGAAGCCGTATTCGTTGGGTCACTGTGCCTGGTTCGTGTATGGGGCCCTGATGAAACAGGGCAGTATTTTGTCTCCGGTGGCGGGTAAGAATCAATAATTTTCAAAACTTTTTTAAATTAAGACAAGGTGAATTGAAGATTTCCTACAGCAAACCTTATTCAGCTAAGCTGAATTGCAGATTTCCCATAGAAGACCTTATTCAGCTAAGCTGAATTGCAGAATTCCTTGACGAAACTTAATTCAGCTAAGCTGAATTGCACATTTCCCACAGGAAACCAAATTCAGCAAAGCTGAATTGCAGATTTCCTATCGGAAACCTTATTCAGCAAAGCTGAATTGCAGATTTCCTATCGGAAACCTTATTCAGCTAAGCTGAATTCAAGATTTCCTATAAGAAACGTAATTCAGATAAGCTGAATTGCAGATTTCGCACAGGAAACCTAATTCAGCAAAGCTTAATTGAGGAATTTCTATAGAAACACTAATTCAGCTAGGCGGAATTGAAGATTTTCTATTAAAATCCCAATTCAGCTAAGTTGAATAGACCAATTCCTATAGAAACTCTAATTCAACTAGGCTGAATTGACGAATTCCTATAAAAACTCTAATTCTGCTAAGCTGAATTGGAGAATTCCTATAGGTAACCTAATTCAGCTAAGCTGAATTGAAAAATTTCCACTGGAAACCTAATTCAGCTAAGCTGGATTGAAAATTTCCTATAGAAAACCTAATTCAGCTAAGCTGAATTGCACATTTCGCATGGGGACCCTAATTCAGCTAAGCTAAATTAAAAATTTCCCACAGGAAACCAAATTCAGCCCGGCTGAATTAAGGTTTCTATATGAAATCTTCAATTCAGCCCAGCTGAATTAAGGTTTCTATAGGAAATCTTCAATTCAGCCCAGCTGAATTAAGGTTTCTATATGAAATCTTCAATTCAGCCTAGCTGAATTTGATTTCCCGCATGAAATTTGCAATTCAGCTAAGCTATTTTTATTCCTCCCACCCTACCATTATCAGTTGGCATCAATTACATGTTTGCCCAACCATTATTACATTATCGTAATGGCATCAAATAGAAATTAGTCCTGATGAAAAGAATAAATATTTGCTGTTGCAATGAAATCGATAAATTTTAAACAAATATAAAAAAGTGCACAACTGTGTGGTAGTGGTAGAGGTCACAGGAAATATCACCGCACACATATGTGAGAGTATGTGTGTGTGTTGGACCTGCACACACAAATATCGTCACATTCACAGTCTGTTTTAAAATAATTTCCGTTTGTTTATTTGTGGCCATTTGTAGATTCGACACGTCTGCTGTTCGCTACCTGGTGGATATTTATAACCATATTAACATCATTCTACACGGCCAATTTAACCGCTTTCCTCACGCTATCCCAGTTCACGTTGCCCTACAATACGGTCAACGATATTTTGGCCAAAAATAAACATTTTGTATCGCAACGGGGCAGTGGCATCGAATATGCCATAAAATTGGTAAGTAGCGAGGGGAGAGGGTGGTCCCGAGATGTTAATGGTCCCATTATTAATATGAGGTTATGTTTTATTGCAGACCAACGAAAGCTTGTCTATGCTAAGTGGCATGGCGACACGTAACTTGGCCGTCTTTACCGATGATACGAATGACACCCTGAATTTGCGTAAATATGTGGAGAAATATGGTTATGTATTTGTGCGGGATCGTCCCGCCATTACCCATGTCCTGTATGAGGATTATTTGTATCGTAAGACGATAAGCTATGATAATGAGAAGATCCATTGTCCCTTTGCCAAGGCTAAGGAACCATTTTTGAAGAAGAAACGATCATTTGCCTATCCGAGGAATAGTAATTTGAGTGATCTGTTTGATCGAGAGTGAGTATAAGAGTGATTTTGATGATTTTGAAGATTAAAATCATATTTTTTTCAAAAAAAATTTTATACAGCGAGGCTGTATAAGAGTTTTTCGATGGAAAATTCGATAAAAAATACAGTATAAGAGTTTTTTCTAAGAGTATTATTAAGTAAAATCAGCTGTATAAGAGTATTATTAAGTAAAATCAGCTGTATATGAGTTTTCCTGAAGTAAGTCACTATACAGCCGGCTGTATAAGAGATTTCCTGAAGTAAATCACCATACAGCCCGGCTGTATAAGAGTTTTTTGACGTAAATCACTATAAAATCCGGCTGTATAAGAGTTTTCCTGATGTAAACTCTATACTGCCCTGCTGTATAAGAGTTTTCCTGATGTAAACTCTATGCAGCCCGGCTGTATAAGACTTTTCCTGATGTAAACTCTATACAGCCCGGTTGTATAAGAGTGTTCCTGATGTAAACTCTATACAACCCGGCTGTAAAAGAGTTTTCCTGATGGAAACTCTATATCTGTATACAGCCCGGTTGTATAAGAGTTTTCCTGACGTAAATCACTATACAGCCCGGCTGTATAAGAGTTTTCCTGACGTCAACTCTATATAGCCCGGCTGTATAAGAGTTTTACTTAGAAAAATGCAATATTAAGAGGTAGTATAAGAGTTTTTTTCAATAAAAAAACAAGCCATAGAAAAGTATTTTCTTATACAAATAAGCCGTATAAGAGTTTTCCTAATGATATCTCTATATATCCACTCTGTATAAGAGCTTGTCTATAGAAAAGAAACTCTTATACAGCCTAGACAAAATCTTATATAGCTTGGATGTGTAGGCTTTTCTATTAGAAAACTCTTATACAGCCTGGATGTATGGATTTTTCTATAGAAAAACTCTTATACAACCTAGTTGTATAGATTTTTCTATACGAAAACTCTTCTGGCTGTATCGATTTTTTATAGAAAAACTCTTATACAGCCTGGCTATATAGATTTTTTCTATAGAAAAACTCTTATACAACCTGGCTATATAGAGCCCTACAGTCTGGCTGTATCGATTTTTTTAGAAAAACTCTTATACAGCTGTATAGATTTTTTCTATAGAAAAACTCTTATACAACAAGTTTTCTATAGAAAAACTCTTATACAGCCAGACTTTATAATTTTTTCTATAGAAAAACTCTTATACAGCCTGGCTGTATATATTTTTTCTATAGAAAAACTCTTATACAGCCTGGCTGTATATATTTTTTCTATAGAAAAACTCTTATACAGTGAGGCTGTATAAAGTTTTCTTTAGAAAAACTCGTATATTGTCTGGGTGTATAAGAGTTTTTCTTCTAATTCTTTGCTCTAATATCCCCTATCCTTCCAGACTCCTCAACCTCGTCGAATCCGGCATCATCAAACATCTCTCGGCCAAGGACTTGCCGAATGCGGAAATCTGCCCTCAAAACCTCGGCGGTACCGAACGTCAGCTACGCAATGGCGATCTGATGATGACCTATTATATAATGTTCGCTGGTTTTGCCACTTCGATTGTGGTCTTCTCTACCGAAATGCTATTTCGTTATCTCAACAATCGGCGAGAATCGAATCAATGGGCCACCACCCACGGGGTGGGTCGGACACCCAACGGAGGACTGCATAAGCCGTCGAAATGGTTTTGGCGCCGCAGCAGTGAATCGAATAAACAGTTGTTGGGTAGTTCGCATTCGAATAACATCACCCCACCACCACCGTATCAGAGCATATTCAATAATGGGAAAGGTTTTCAGGAGAATACCAGCATGCGGAGATGGCATCATGCGGCAAATTATGGTGCCAATGCGGCGGCGGGAGGTTTTGGGGTGCTGCGACCGGTTGGAAATTATTATGGTAATGATGCGGCGGCTGGTAGTTCGAGGAATTCAGGGGCTTTGGAATCGACGGGTCTGCGGAAGTTCATTAATGGTCGGGAGTATATGGTGTATCGCACGCCGGACGGGCTGAATCAGTTGGTACCGGTAAGGGTGCCATCGGCTGCTTTGTTTCAATATACATATACGGAGTAAAGGCAGGATGAGGGAAGATCTGAAGAAAATCAATTTTTTTTAAATGTGTTATCCCAATTTAGTCGTAGGTCCAATTTTTATTCTGTGTCATTTTATTTTTGGAAAAATAATAAAAAAAACTTAGTAGATGTCCAATCTCATGGGTATCGCAGGGCCAGTTGGGGGGGTCCATTCATACCACTAAGGCGAATGAAGCTAATTGGCCTCTACTGCCAGTATCGGGGGGCGTTGTTCGGCATTACAAAACGACATCTAATTAATGGCCAGTTTCACAACTTAATTGTGGCCATTCCGAGGAATTTGATTGATTGAGCAGGCAACAACAACACCCCACCTCTACTATCACCCCGACCATCAACCCTACCTTCATGGTGGTAGTGGTGGTTGAATTTCGGTTACTTTGATTAATTAAGTAATGGTCAGGATATATGTATGGAGGCGTAACTGTGAGTGACGCACACAAAAACACCTACCAGGGTATTTAACACATCAACACCTACATACAAACACACACACACGCATACACAACAATAAAAATATGACATTTAATAAATTATATTCGAATTCAGCTATGCTGAATTGACGATTTCGTAGATGAAACACAATTCAGCTAAGCTGAATTAAAAATTTCCAATCGGTCCGAACTCTAATTCAGCAAACTTAATTTGAAGAATTTTGGTCATCGGAAACCATATTCAGCTAAGCTGAATTGAAGATTTCAAACTGAAAATCTAATTCAGCTAATCTGAATTGAAGATTTTCTAAAATAAACCTAATTCAGCTAAGCTAAATTGACGTTTAGCTATACGAAAACCAATTCAGCTAAGCTGAATTACAGAAATTGATCAGAAAACCTAATTCAGCAAAGCTGAATTGAAGATTTCGTGTAGGAAACATAATTCAGCTAAGCTGAATTGAAGTTTACATATAGGAAAACTAATTCAGCTAAGCTGAATTGAAGTTTACCTATAGGAAAACTAATTCAGCTAAGCTGAATTGAAGTTTGCCATAATTCAGCATAGCTCAATTAAGGTTTCTATAGGAAATCGTCAATTCAGCCCAGCTTAATAAAGGTTTCTATAGGAAATCTTCAATTCAGCCTGGCTGAATTTTGGGTTTCTATAGGAAATCTTCAATTCAGCCCAGCTGAATTAAGGTTTCTATAGGAAATATTCAATTCAGCCCGACTGAATTAGGGTTTCTATAGGAAATCTTCAATTCAGCCCAGCTGAATTAGGGTTTCTATAGGAAATCTTCAATTCAGCCCAGCTGAATTAGGGTTTCTATTGGAAATCTTCAATTCAGCTTAGCTGAATATGGTTTGCGATAGAAAACCTTCAATTCAGCTTGGCTGAATATGGCTTTCCATGGAATAACTTCTGTCCCGTCCCTTTTTTTCTATAAAAAACCACCAAATTTGTCTATACGATTAATTTTTATTAGCCTGAGGCAATGCTATATCACAACTACCAGCCGAGGATATCGAAGACGAGGGCCGTGAAGAAGTCGCCAGGGAATTTGCACTGGAATAATTGGAGCTATCCGATGAGACCCAGGCATTGATAGGTGGTTGGTTTTTTCGTCGTTGTCTTTGACGGGCCACCGATAAAACTGAACCCATAACTGGAGAACCCGATGATAAGGAACTGGACCTCGAAGAGAGGGTCACTAGAAGATAAGGGAGATTAATTTTCAATTTTTATTGCGGACCCAATAAATCGAAATACCTGACTGAGGCCTAGCTGTACCCCCTGGGGGAGAAGAAGCATTCGATACTGCCACAGGAGCGGTTGCCGGGCGCAATTCTGTTCCCGCAGCCAGGGGCAATGAAATGGAGGCGCTTGACAAAGAGGATACATCATCGGTATCCAGGGAGCTCATTTGCTGTCCTGCTCTCTCATTATTGAAAGGAACGCCATCCAAAATCTCCAGACTGGGAATGCTACGCTGTAATGTTTGCCGATAAAGAGGCTGATGACAGACTGGATTACCCCTCAGATCCAATTGCAAAAGATTCCCATTGAGGCCTAAAAATGTGAGGATACCCAATTCACTAATCCGATTATTGCGAACACTTAAATGCTGCAGCAGTGGTAGATCCGACAGGCTTCCGGTCCTTTGTATCATATTATCATCGGCCACCAGGACCCGCAATGCTGGAAAACCACTCGTGCCATCGAAACTATTCAGCCCACAATTGCTGACATTTAAATGGGTCAAATGGCTCAGGCCATAACCCAAATCCCGCAGTGTGCACAAAACGGAACCGCTTAGGTCCAGCTGCTGCAAACGTGGCAGGAACATGGCCAAGTGGGATAGGCTCAGGGTATAGGAAATAACACGAAGTCTCACCGATTCCACATTGTGTAAATCTGTGCGGCCGGTGACACGTCTCTGAAAAAATTGGGAGAATGGGTTCCAATGAGAATTCTAGAATTCCGATATTACGAACTTACCAACAACTCATCCAAAGTGGGTTCCGGAGCCTGGGCTGGCAGTACCACCGGCAGCATATGAACATAGGCTGGCATATAATTATCCTCTTCATTTTCAATAATATCCGGATCGAATTGCAAGGCTGGCAGATTTCTCAAGAGGTTCTGATTGTTCTGCTCTTGCACTGTCAAATCAATTCCACGCTGATATCGAGGCTCAGGCGTTGGCAAACGGATTTGGGCCGCAGCCACTGGGGCTATGGGTAATGGTAGTTGTAGTTGTTGCTGGAGCTGGCCATTTGGTCCTTGATTGGGTAGAAAATCCTGATTTAATGAAATCTCCGGGGAGGATTCACTCAAGTCTTGAGGGGCCTCCAAATGGGGCATTTTCCGAACACAGAAAATCTGGAGAGTTCTTCTTTTTTCGGCCAATTACTTTGATGGTGGGAATTGTTATTACGTCGCTTGTAAATAAAGAACTATCGATAGTTTTGAATGTTATCGTTACCTTGGCAACGGAGCTGGCAAGGATATCGAAAATAGCAACAGGATATCGATGGCATTGGGAAATAAAACGAACACAAAATAATAACCTGTTGAAAGAATTTCCATGGAAACAAAAATTCAGTTAAGCTGAATTGTAAATTTCGAATGAAAATTGTATTCATCTTAGCTGAATTGCAGATTACCTATTGGAAACCAAATTCAGCTAAGCTGAATTGCAGATTATCAATGGAAAATCGAATTCAGCTATATTAAATGTAAGAATATCCAAGATATAACATATTCAGCTATGCTGAATTGAAAATTTCCGATGAAAGCTCTAATTCAGCTAAGCCGAATTGAAGATTACCTTAAGGATATGTAATTCAGCTAAGCTGAATTGAAGATTACCTTAAGGAAATGTAATTCAGCTAAGCTGAATTGAAGATTTTTGATGGGAAACCATAAGCTGAATTGAATATTTTCAATAGGAAACCATATTCAGCTAAGCTGAATTGAAGATTCTCTATGGAAAACCTAATTCAGCAAAGCTGAATTGAAGATTTTCTATGGAAAACCTAATTCAGCTAAGCTGAATTGAAGATTTTCTATAGAAAACCTAATTCAGCTGAGCTGAATTGAAGATTTTCAATAGAAAACTTAATTCAGCTAAGCTGAATTGAAGATTTCCCACAAGAATCCATTTTCAGCTAAGCTTAATTCAAGAATTTCCACGAAAACCCGCATTCAGCTAAGCTGAATTGCAGATTTCTAATGGAAACCCTAATTCAGCTAAGCTAAATTGAAGATAATCATTGGGAAACCTTATTCAGCTGCGGTTGTATTGCAAAATTTCCAATTTAAATCCCATATTTTACATAACAACAATTACACTATAATTACGCCACAGGCCTTTCAGCCAGGAAAAAACACGGTCTACAAAAATCTTTGCCGGTTGCATGTGTGACATTTACATGATGTCCTGACATACACTCTTGGTGTCATAATGACACGAACATGCTACAATATTTTGTGACATTTTGTGCCCGATGAAAGGGGGGTGGGGGAGCCATTGTTTTTGTTGTTATTGAATTATGATGACGCTAACGATGATTATGGAAACAATGACAGCGGTTGGTTGTGTGTGCGCGGGTTACATGATTTCATGTATGGATGCCGTTGATGATGATGACGACTATAATCTTCTTATAGCAGTTGTTGTTACTGTTTTTGTTTATTTAGATCTTTTCTGGGTATTGATGCTGTTCCAAAAAAACAAATGTTGCAGCACCTTTAACGACCTCGCAGACAACGAGGCGTCGTCAATGGTAATGTTTATTTATGGACAGTGGTGCAGAAGCACTGAATTAGCTGAGGTAAATTGAAGATTTATTATTGAAACCCTTATTCAGCTAAGCTGAATTGAAGATTAGCTACTGGAAATGTATTTCAGCAAAGCTGAATTGCAGATTTTCTATCGAAAACCTAATTCAGCTTACCTGAATTTAAGATTTTCTATAAAAAACCAAATTCAGCTGGGCTGAAATAAAGATTTCATATAGAAACCTTAATTCAGCTGGGCTGAATTGAAGATTTCATATAGAAACCTTAATTCAGCTAAGTTGAATTGAAGATTTCTGATGGAAACCCTAATTCAGCTGGGCTGAATTAAAGATTCCCTATAGAACCTTTAATGCAGTCGGGCTTAATTGCAGATTTCTTATAGAAACCTTAATTCACCTGGGCTGAATTGAAGATTTCCAATAGAAACCTTAATTCAGCTGGGCTGAATTGACGATTTCTTATAGAAACCTTAATTCAGCCGGGCTGAATTGAAGATTTCCTATAGAAACCTTAATTCAGCTGGGCTGAATTGAAGATTTACAATAGAAACCTTAATTCAGTCAAGCTGAATTGAAGATTTCCAATAGAAACCTTAATTCAGCCAGGCTGAATTGAAGATTTCCAATAGAAACCTTAATCCAGCCAGGCTGAATTGAAGATTTCTAATAGAAACCTTAATCCAGCTGGGCTGAATTGAAGATTTCCTATGGGAAACCTGATTCAGCTAAGTTGAATTGAAGATTTCCCATGGGAAACCTTAATTCAGCTGGGCTATAGAAGCTTTAATTCAGCCGGGCTGGATTGAAGATTTTCTATAGAAACCTCAATTCAGCCGGGCTGAATTTAAGAATTCTTTCAGAAAACGTAATTCAGCTATGCTGAATAGCAGATTTCCTATCGGAAACCTAATTCAGCTAGGCTGAATTGCAGTTTTCCTATTGAAAACCAAATTCAGCTAAGCTGAATTGAAGATTTCCTATAGAAACCCTAATTCAGTCGGGCTGAATTGAAGATTGCCCATTGTAATTCATATTCAGCTTTGCTGAATTATTGATTTTTAATGGAAAATTTAATTCAGCTGCATTTCTTAGTTTCTCTTGGTCCACTGTCTTATTTTCCTTTTCTTTAAACTTTATTTTCATAACATTTATGGGAATTTAATGATTCAGCAACGGCTGTGGCATCAGCATCAGCTTTTGACATTTCATTTGCCCTATAAGAAGAAAACACACACGCACACTCTCACACACACACCCATGCGTACACAAATAACCACACATTTACCAAAATAAAAAAAATTCAATACAAAATAACGATGATAAGTCGACAGCAACAACAACAACAGGAACGAACCATGCAAAACAACACAGCACCGAGTTATACACAATGGATGCTTTAGTTATAGAGAGAGAGTGAGTGGGTGAGAGGGAGAAACAGAGAAAGCAGGAGTATGAGCAGTAAGGAAGTCGAATAAGAATTTCAACAAGAAAAACCCCCGAAAAAGTCCAGTTTGGCATCAACATTTGTGTTGATGTAGGTTTTGTGTTAGCCAGGGTGTATGCTTGTGTGAGTGCATGCGTGTGTGTGCCTGACTGCCTGTATGCATGCCTGTTCGTGGCAGTGTGGGTATATACGGTTATTTTGCAATATATTTCATTAGGAGTTGTTACAAAGACGTCAGCAAATTTGATGACGTCACAGACGTCATCATGTGTTGGCACTTACAACGCCACGGCACATACACACACGCCACACACACATACACACATTACAAAACAAAATGAACAGCCAGTTTGTTGTGGGAACGACGACAATATAATTTACTTGATTACTCGCCAAAAAGGAAGGAAGAAAGAGAGTTGCAAATGTAACAAAAAAGAGAAAGAGAGTAGCAAATCATTCAAAAGAGAAAATGTGGAGAGTATTAAAGACCTACATACAAAGCGTTGCTTGCTGAATTTAGTTTTTTGTTGTGCCTTCGACAACAAAAAATCTAAATACGATGTGGAAATTTCACGTGGGCCGTAGAATTGAAATTCGTTGGTTTGTGACATTTAAAAATGCTTGTCATTTATTTTTATGATATTTTGCAGTCTGTTTTTTATGTCATTCAGCCATGCAAAAAAAAAAATGTTACGGATTTTGCGCCCCCAAAAATCCCTCTAGGGAGATTTTAGGGATTTGCGTTGTGTGATTTTTTTTTTCAATGAAATTTTAGGTGGGATTTTGTTGGTAAACAAACATCCAACGCACACATTCATGCACACACACGCATATATGTTACAATTCCCCAAAGCAAAAAGTACAGTTACTTTGAATGAATGAAATTTTCAAGTAACTGGAAAGGAAATTAACACAAAAGAAAAAAACATCATTGCAGGACAGCAGAATATTACTCAATGAATTTCGGGGCATTGTGACGTCAACAAATTCTGCAATTCAGCCAGGCTGAATTGAAAAATATCCACAATGCACCTAATTCAGCTAAGATGAATTGAAGAATTCCCATGGGAAGTCATATTCAGCTGAGCTAAATTGAAAATTTCTTGCAGGAAACCTAATTCAGCTAAGCAAAATTGCAAAATTCTCATAGAAACTCCTATTCAGCTAAGCTAAATTGTGAACTTTTCATAGAAACTCCTATTCAGCTAAGCTGAACTGAAAATTTAAAATAGAAAACCTTATTCAGCCAAGCTGAATTGCAAATTATCCAAAGAAAAACCTAATTCAGCTAAATTGAATTGAAGATTTCCTATAGAAACCTTAATTCAGCCGAGCGGAATTGCAGATTTCCTAGGAAAATCCCAATTCAGCTAAGCAGAATTGAAAATTTTCCATAGAAAACCCAATTCAGCTAAGTTAAACTAAAGACATTTTATACAAACCCTAATTCAGCTAAGTAAAATTAAAGATTTCAAAGAGAAATATTAATTCAGCTAAGCAAAATTGAAGAATTTTTATAGAAACCCAAATTCAGCTAAGCAGAATTGCAAATTACCCAAAGAAATCGTAATTCAGCTAAGCTGAATTGAAGATTTCCTAAAGATACCTTAATTCAGCCGGGCTGAATTGAAGATTTCCTATAGATACCTTAATTCAGCCGGGCTGAATTGAAGATTTCCTATGGAAACCTTAATTCAGCCGGGCTGAATTGAAGATTTCCTATGGAAACCTTAATTCAGCCGGGCTGAATTGAAGATTTCCTATGGAAACCTTAATTCAGCCGGTCTGAATTGAAGATTTCCTATGGAAACCTTAATTCAGCCGGGCTGAATTGAAGATTTCCTATGGAAACCTTAATTCAGCCGGGCTGAATTGAAGATTTCCTATGGAAACCTTAATTCAGCCGGGCTGAATTGACGATTACCTATAGAAACCTTAATTCAGCTGGGCTGAATTGAAGATTTCCCACCAGAAACCTTATTTCAGCCAGGCTGAATTGAAGATTTCCTATATAAACCTTAATTCAGCCAGGCTGAATTGAAGATTTCCTTTATATAATCTTCAATTCAGCCTAGCTGAATTAAATTCCCTATAGGTAATCTTCAATTCAGCCTAGCTGAATTTTGTTTTCTTTAAGAAATC